ACTGTGCCCGAGCCCTGGGCCTCAAGGGATTCTGGCCCTCCACCTTGGGACCCCGGGGTTGAGGCCACTCAAACACCATACATAACATTAAGGAGAGATCTCTGTGATATGGACCCCTACAACCAGCCCCTCACTGGGAGGTATGGGTCAGGGGAAAACTTGATCCCCAGCCCTAATAGACCTCTAAAGTGATATTCCTAGGAGGCTAAAGATAAGGAAAAATGCCAGACCAGGGTAGAGGCCAAACGTGTGCCCAACCCCCCTATCCCTATCACCTGGCATGCTAGCAGGTACAGCTGAAGGGTACTTTACGGGGGTCCAACAGGTGGTCGTGCAAGGCCCTTACTGAGATCAGGTTAGACAAACGGGGCTTGTAGCCTGGAACAAATTAGATGAAGGGCCTACCAAATCTCCCGTAGCGGGGGGAAGACAAAAACCCAACAAACCCCCATCAGTGTTCATAGATAGAGTCCAACAAAATATGTAGTTAATTTCCCCATTCATGGTTGCCCTCAAGGGATTACCGGAGGGACAGAAATGCCCATACAACATATGAGGGGGCATTCTGGGCTTCCAGGATTTCTGTCCAAGGGAAACGGCCGAGCTGAAGAGCTGGCATTGGGATTTAGGATATTGATCTTAAAAGATAGTCCATACAAGACATTGCCAACCCTTCCTAAAGGTACACCCTTTACAAATGCAGGGAGTTAACCCCAGAGCCAAATATCCTCTGATAAATAGCTGTTACATTTAAATATGTTTTTGTTTTAATAGAACGAAAGAGAAAATTAGCCCCCATATTCAGTTATTCTGCACCCTGAGGCCATCACACTCTGGCCTCGGGGCTACAAGGACACCCGCATCGGGCCCCAGTCAGGGCCTTCTGCTCCCCAGCCACTCCTTTGTGCCCCTTGTGGGGCAGGAGCTCCTGGAGTGACAGTGCCTACAAAAAATGATGACAGAATACAGGCTTGCGGTGGTGGGTGCTGGAGGTGTGGGAAAGAGTGCCCTGACCATCCAGCTGATCCAGAATCGTTTTGTGGATGAATATGACCCCACCATAGAGGACTTCCATCGGAAACAGGTGGTCATTGATGGGGAGGCATGTCTGCTGGACATCCTAGACACAGCGGGTTGGGAGGAATGTGGTGCCGTGAGGGACCAATGCATCCACACAGGGGAAGGTTTCCTCTGTGTGTTTGCTATCAATAGCACCAAGTCCTTTAACAACATCCATCAGTACAGGGAGCACATCAAACGGATAAAGGACTTGGATGATGTACCAATGGTGCTGGTGGGGAACAAGTGTGACCTGGCTGCTCGTACTGTTAAGTCTTGGCAGGCCCAGGACCTTGCCCACAGCTATGGCATCCCCTACATCGAAACATCAGCCAGGACCCGGCAGGGTGTGGAGGATGCCTTCTACACACTTGTTCGTGAGATTCGGCAACACAAACTACGGGAGCTAAACCCTCCTGATAGGAGTGGCCCTGGCTACATGAGGTGCAAGTGTGTGCTATTGTGACATCAGATGGCGGTACTCCAGCTGATGGTCGTCCTGCTCTTCCTGGCTCCTGCTACAGCCCAGAGATCTCGTTCCCACACCACTGCTGCCCCTACATCTTTCAGCCTCCCCCTCTTCCCTGCAGCAGCCTCTGACACCCACCCCAGGAGAACTCTACCACCTGCTTCCAGTATCCGCTACCACTTCCAGGGCCCCACTACTGGCTCCTCAACGTCCTCAGAGCCTGGGGACAATGGCGACTGTACCGAGATGGCCTTTGGTGTGGCCACACCCCACCGCCATAGACCAACCTGCTCTTCCGCTGCAGCCCTCACACACACAGCCAAAGGCAAAAGCGATGTCCAGCGCCCCTGGACTGAGGTTAAAACTGTCTTTGCTGCTGCTGCTGCTGAGCAAAGCCCCGCTGGACCTCTACTTCTCAATGGATGCTTACTGAGAGAGGCTGTACATGGAACAGCCAGATGGCATACCTCTGCTTTATGCTCCTGAAGAAGTCCCCAGCTTTCACTTGGGCCAGCATCTTTCCGCACAGGGCTGCATGAGGATGATTGGATCTACATCCAAGAGGACACTGACCTTCTCTACCTCAACCAAAAGCTGGGACCACAGTTCCTGGGAACAGCTCAACATTCACAATGGTGGCTTCCCCTCGCTCACCATCTTTCTCTGGGTCTTCGTGGGGTCCGCAACCCAGCGGGAGGATGGATGTCACTGGACAGGCTGTGCCCGTATGTACTTCTCCTTCATCAAAGACTCCTTCCCAGCGTGTAGCTCCCTCAAATCCCAGGATCTCTGGGCTCTAAGAAGGGGAGAGTCTGCCCTTCTGTTGCAACCCAGACAGCTTGGAAGTGAGCACTCCCTGGGCCCAGGACTGGGAGTTTCAGGAGAAGTATGTGCTGGAGGCCAAGTGCAGAATGGACACTGGTGACCGTGTATGAGGAGGGCAACTCAGCACCAACCTTCTCCGGAGGTGTGGGGCTGACAGTTCTCCATGGGACTGGACTCAAAGATAGACTGATTCTAGTAATTCCTAAATGTGACTAAAACAGCCTCCTTTTGGAAATCATCAGCTATCTTTGGGGGTAGGGTTCGGGAAGGATAACTTTCTCTTTGTACCTTTAACTGGTTTCTTAACTCTTCTCTCCATAGATGTTCATGTAAATACTTTAAATAGTAAAAGCCTTTTCTCCTGCCCATGACACTGGTAAAAAGAGACTTTTTAGAGAAATCCCCTAAAATTTTTAACTAGTGTTAGGACTAAAAACCAATACTATGGCCAGGCAGTGGTGGCGCACGCCTTTAATCCCAGCACTCGGGAGGCAGAGGCAGGCGGATCTCTGTGAGTTCGAGGCCAGCCTGGTCTACAGAGCGAGATCCAGGAAAGGCGCAAAGCTACACAGAGAAACCTTGTCTCAAAAAACCAAAAAAAAAAAAAGAAAAACCAATACTATGTTTGCTTCCTAACTAAATCACTCAGGGACTGATTTTCTGTGTTCTCAATAATGTTAGGTTTGACTTTAAAAAAAAAAGGGGGGGATGCCAAACAGGTAAACCGCCCACCTTATTTAAAAACAAAAAGAGGGAATCTGTGGGGCATACATGGGCTGCAAACAGAGTGCCGAGAGAAATTCATTCACATAAATAGAGCTTAAGCTTTAAGCTGTTTGTGCAGAGAGTGGATACAAATGGTACCAGAGGAAGTTAGTTTAAGCTGTTTACGCAGAGAACAGATACAAAGGATGGCTAAGAGGAAGTTAGCTCGGGTTGTTTGTATGGAGACTAAAGACGAATAGTGAGGAAGAAAGTTAGTTCAAGTTATTTATGCTAAAATAAGATACTAAAAACAAGAGATGATGTCAGGGCATAAACAACTTGTAAATAGGGTGACCTTTAAAATGATTGGTTGGGTGCCTTTAATCCCAGCACTCAGGAGACAGCAGCAGGCAGATCTCTGAAGTCAAGGCCACCCTGGTGTACAAAGTGAGTTCCAGGATGGCCAGGGCTACACAAAGAAGCCCTGTCTCAAAACAAACAAACAAACAAAACCTGCTAGGGTTCTGAGGTTTTCTGGTATAAAAGAGGCTTACTGCCCATCAATAATCGAGTTCTTGCTTGACTTGAGTCCCCGCTGCATCTGACTGGGGAATGGGCGAGTGGTGTGCCCTTTCCTCGGTTCCAGGCCACCTCTTCACAGGTGACCTAAGTTCCTGGTGGGGCAGGTCCCCACAACTAGCCTCTGGACATGTCTGTAGGGAATTATGTTGATTAGGTAATTGTGGAAGGCCCACCCAATGTGAGTGGCACCATTCCCTGGCTGGGTCCTGAACTGTTATAAAGGAGAAAGCGAGCTGAGCACAAGTCTGAACGCTATCTTCTGTCTGAAGGTGGATGCAATGTGATAAGATGCTCCAAGGTCCTGCTACTTTGACTTCTCCACTATAATGGGCTGTGTCTTGAACTATAAAAAACCTTCCTGGAATACAGTCCTGGAGCTGGAGAGATGACTCAGTGGTTAAGAGCACTGGCTGCTCTTGCAGAGAACCTGGGTTCTATTCTCAGCACCACACAGTGGCTCACAACCATCTGTAACTCCAGTTCCAGGGAATCCAATGCCCTCATCTGGCCTCTGTGACACCAGGAATGTGGTGCACATACATTCATGCCACCATAAGGCTTATACACATAAAGATGATCTTTGTTTTGGGTTGGAGAGATGACTCAGCGGTTAAGAGCACGACTGCTCTTCCAAAGGTCCTGAGTTCAATTCCCAGCAACCACATGGTGGCTCACAACCATCTGTAATGAGATCTAGCCTGCAGGCATACATGCAGGCAAAACACTATATACATAATAAATCTTTAAAAAAAAAAAAAAAAAAAAAAAAAAAAAAAAAGCACTGGCTGCTCTTCCAGAGGACTTGGGTGTAGCTTAAGTTTTCCTGCCTGGCCCACAGTCAGGACAAATCTCTCTCACCTGCCAGTCCCACAGCCACTCAGACCCGACCAAGTAAACACAGAGACTTATATTGGTTACAAACTGTATGGCCGTGTCAGGCTTCTTGCTAACTGTTCTTACAGCTTAAATTAATCCATTTCCATTAATCTTTACCTTGCCACATGGCTCGTGGCTTACCGGCATCTTCACATGCTGTTTGTCATCATGGCGGCTGGCAGTGTCTCTCTGACTCAGCCTTCCACTTCCCAGCTTTATTCTCCTCCTTGTCCCGCCTACACTTCCTGCCTAGCCAATGGCCAATCAGTGTTTTATTTATTGACTAATTAGCAACACATTTGCCATACAGAACATCCCATAGCACTTGGGTTTGAGTCCCAGCATCCATATGGTGGCTCACAACCATCTATATAACTACAGTTCCAGGGGCATGACCGTCTGCATACATGTAATGCACATACATACACTCAGGCACCTACACATAAAATAATTTTTAAAAATTTTAGCTGGGCAGTGGTGGTGCATTCCTTTAATCCCAGCACTCAGGAGACAGCAGCAGGCAGATCTCTGAAGTCAAGGCCAACCTGGTGTACAAAGTGAGTTCCAGGATGGCCAGGGCTACACAGAGAAGCCCTGTCTCAAAAAAGCAAACAAACAAACAAACAAAAATTAAAGAAAGAAACTACACCCGAGGCTGCCTGTTGACTCTGCCAAGCCATCTGAACTCTTGCCTCCGTGTCTAAAAAGTTGGCACAGTTACAGTATTGGTTTAATAGAGTTTTATGATTCTGTGTGATAAAGCCTGGAGTGTGCTTATTATACTATGGGGCACTTAAAAACTTTTAATATATGGTTATTGTCCACAGGAGCAGGGTTTGTGTATGTTTTTTATTTTTTGTTTTTGTGCATGTGCATGTGTGGACTCACACGACATACCAGGTCAGGAGACAATTTGTAGTTATTTCTTTCCCTTCAAGTAGGTTCCAGGGATCCAGTTTGGATCTCCAGGCTTGTGCTGCAAGTGTCCCACCGACCTGTCTTGTTTCCTTTCCATTCTTCGTGTGTGTTTGTGCGTGTGCTTGTCGTAAGACCCCTGTGGAAGTGAGGCAACTTCAGGAGAGTCAACGTTTTCCTTCCACCATATAGGTCCCATGGATGGAACCCAGGGCAGGCATGGCAGCAAGGGCCTTTAGCCACCTACCAAGGCATCTCATTCTCCTGCTTTGTGTCAAGGTCTTGCTGTGTTTCCCTAGCTGGTCTGGCCCAGCCCTCACTAGGTAGCTGAACTTGCCTCTACCTCCTAATACAAGAGTGCACCATCGTGCCTAGCTCATACAAGTTCTGAAAAATACAAGTAATGTACAGTACTTGTAAATGGACCAGAATACAATAAACACCAGCGAATGGATACTGGTGTTGTAGAAATTAAGTATGCTTACACACATACACACACACACACACACACACACACACACACATTTTTTTTTTAAGAGCAGTATAACGTAGCTCTGGGGGCCTGGAACTCACAGATTTCCCTGACTCTACCTTTTAAATGCTGGGATTAAAGGCGTGTGCCACAATACCAACATATTTTTATTTTTAATTACGTGTATATATGTGTGTGTTTGTGCGCGGATCCCGTAGAAGCTGGAGTTAGTTGTAAGCCTGAGTCCTCTCTCTAGTCTTTAAAAAAGAAATGTCAAAAAAGTTAATGGTAAAGTCTTCACTAAAATACTTCAATTTCTCTGTATATGTGAAAGGGTTCCTAACCTAAAACTGGTGAAAATTTATTGTGGTGTGCTCCGGGGGCCGCCATTTCTTTTGCGTTCTAACATAAAAGCCACTCAGACGATGAGCGAGATCGTGGTGAACTGGGCACGGTCTCCGGACGGGAAGCTCTGCTCCTGGAATGCCACCGAGGCCTGCTTGCGAAACGCCAAAACCTCGAGAGCGAGGCCGCGGGCCCAGCCAGGCAGCCTGCGGGGCAGGGCGGGCGCGGCCCTCGGCGGCAGGGCGGAGGCTGGCGGGGGCCAGGGCCGTCCCCGGCCAGCACGAGCTCGGGGCGCGCAGGACCTCCAGGAGGGCGGAAGCCCGAAGCGTCGGATTTCAGAGCGGGGCGGGGAGTCGCCCGCGCGGCCCGCAGCCAGCCCACAGCCCTCGTCCCGAGCAGGCGCGCGCGCCATGGGCCTCTCGGGCGGCGGGAGCGAGTGGAGGATGCTGGGAAAGAGGTAACATGGCCTCCGGCGGCGGCGGAGCAGAGGAGGGTCTACAGCGGGACCGGCTGCAGCTCCCGCTCCCCGCGCAGCCCACGGCCCGCGCCGAGGAGGCCGAGGGCGCCCGCGAGAAGATGGGCTGGGCGCAGGTGGTGAAGAACCTGGCGGAGAAGAAGGGCGACTTCCGCGAGCCGCGGCGGCGCGACGAAACGGGCAGCGGTGAGAGTGGCGGGCGAGGCAGCCCCGCGGGCCTGGCCGCGCCGAACCCCGACGACTTCCCCCCTGCCGCCCGCGGGGACCCCAAGGGCCGCCGCAGAGAGCCTGCGGGCGAGGCGGCAGACGCTGGCGGCAAGAAGGGAGCGGGAGACGCGGGTCGAAGGAAGAAGGCCGAGGTGGCGGCGGCGGCGGCGGAGCAGGAGGAGGAGGAGGAGGAGGAGGCAGCGGCCATGGCGACCCCCGCCAAGCCCGGCGCCACCGAAGACGCAGCTGCAGGGCGCCCACTCCAGGACGAGCCTCCAACCGCCGGGCCGGGCAAGGGCCGCTTCCTCGTGCGCATCTGTTTCCAGGGAGACGAGAGTGCCTGTCCGACCCGGGATTTCGTGGTGGGCGCGCTCATCCTGCGCTCCATCGGCATGGACCCTGACGACATCTACGCGGTCATCCAGATCCCCGGCAGCCGTGAGTTCGACGTGAGCTTCCGATCCGCCGACAAGCTAGCCCTGTTTCTCCGCGTCTACGAGGAAAAGCGAGAGCTGGAGGACTGCTGGGAGAACTTTGTGGTGTTGGGGCGGAGCAGGTCCAGCTTGAAGACCCTCTTCATCCTCTTCCGGAACGAGACGGTGGATGTGGAGGACATCGTGACCTGGCTCAAGCGCCACTGCGACGTGCTGGCCGTGCCCGTGAAAGTGACCGACAGGTTTGGGATCTGGACCGGGGAGTACAAGTGCGAGATCGAGCTGCGCCAGGGGGAGGGCGGAGTGAGGCACCTGCCCGGGGCCTTCTTCTTGGGAGCCGAGAGGGGCTACAGTTGGTACAAGGGGCAGCCCAAGACGTGCTTCAAATGTGGTTCTCAGACCCACATGAGCGGCACCTGCACGCAGGACAGGTGTTTCAGGTGCGGGGAAGAGGGGCACCTGAGCCCTTACTGCCGGAAGGTCATCGTGTGCAACCTCTGTGGCAAGAGAGGACACGCCTTTGCCCAGTGTCCCAAAGCAGTTCACAATAACGTGGCCGCTCAGCTCAACGGCGTGGCGGGGCACTGAACGCGCGTCTGCCCGCCGGGGTGAACACACAGCCAGCTTACCCTTAAGTGCCAGAACTTTTTTTTTATTTCTAAAAGACCATTTTTATCTTTTTGGAAGGAGATATTTCTAAAACCTAACAGACATTCTCTCTGTGCCTTTTTAAAACCATGTGTGCCCCTTTTCAGCATGTTTGAAAAGGACTGTTCAGAACTGTAGCGTGCAGATATGTCGCCTGTCCGTCCGTGCTCCCCCCCCCCTTTTTTTCTCCCGTTTTGAATTTGTTTTGGTACTTGTCGACACCCTGTCCCCCTCTGTACTTTTTACTACCTCTCTCCTCATCCATGTCTCATTAGAAGATTTTTTGCCCTTTGGGCTGCCTTGCTCATTTTTATGCCTCAGTCCCGGGTACAGGGCCCAACGCGGGACAGGCGTTCGACCCAGTGTTCATTGAATCAAAAATGTCGACTACCCTGTCAGGACTGCCTTCCTTGTGCAGCTCTCCGCTGGGCTCTTCTCCTTTGCTGCTTCTGTGTGATAGGAAACTTTGTGAAAACAGTGTTGCTGGAAGTGTGTAATCCGCAGAAGCTCTGAAAGGTGGCCAGGGGCCTCTCGTGGCACAAAAACCTATCTCCTTTGTGACAGCTCCTTGTGGCTCAGAAGCCATGTTTCTGTAGGAGCGTGGAGCCTAGACAGTTCTGCTGGGAAAGACCCAAGAGGTGGTTTTTCTTGGATTTTCTTTGGGGGAGCTTGCTTTTTTGTGTGTTTTGATTTGACACAGGGTCTCACTGTGTAGCCCTGACTGGTTTGGTACTGGCACCATTCCTGGACCAGGCTGGCTTCAAACTTAAAGTGATCCTCTCACCTCTGCCTCCCTGAAGGATGTTTTAAATTAACCCCTTGGTTTTCCAGCAGATGAAATGATCCCGAAGTTAAATGACTGGGTCAAAGTACACAGCGGTGTGGTGCCTCAGACTGTCCACAGTAGAGTCCACTGCCCCCATGCCCGGTGCTCATTCCACTACCTCTCACACTTCACAACAGCCTCCTCGACACTGGTGGGCCAAGGAAGTCTCTGCAGGGTGATGGTCCCAGCATGAAGCTGAGACACTGTCCCCTGAAAGAGCAGGAGAAGCCTGTCTTGCCACTTCTTAGTAAGGGAGCTAGGGAACGGCCCGGTGAACACACTGCAGGCTGCAAGCATGCATCAGTCCTTGGAGTGAGTTCCACATCTTCAGTGTTCCACTGTCAATGTCAGCAGTGAGAAATGGTTCCCCTCAGGAAAGAACCTTGCCAGACGTTTACATTTGCACCTCTGCCTCATCTACTAGGAACCCTAGAGAAGCTCGAGAGAGCTCATCCGAAACCTTTAACCTCTGACCCTCAGGAGAAAGGTGCTTTTAACCCAGAATCATGAGTGAGCTGTGAACTCGAAAATGTTCTTGGGGAAACAGGCCAAGACAGAGGGCCAGCTGACTGTTACCAAGCTAAAGTGAAGACAGTCAGCTGCTTTTCTCAGTGTGTGTCTTCTCTTTGCTGTTTTGCTATTTTCTTGTGGCTTAGAATGTAAAACCAGTTGTTCAGATTTGTTCTGAATAAATATTTATCTTTCGTATTACTGTGTCTTTTCGGAAGTGTTAGCAGAAGGTGCATACCCTCCCTACTAGCTGTCCCTGCAGGACACGGTAGCCCGGCCTTCTGCAGTTACCTAAGCCCAATGCATTGCTCAGCTCACTGCTGAAACTATTTTGTGTGAGCTTTTCCAGTTTGTAGAGTTTTGATTGTGGGTTTTGTTTTCATTTTTTTGAATCAGGGTTTCTCTGTGTGGCACTGGCTGGCCTTGAACTCAGATCTACCTGCCTCTGCCTCCTGAGTGCTGGGATTAAGGATGTAGTCCACCATGCCTGGCCAGTTTTATTTTCTAAGACAACCTTATAGCTGGCCTGTAACTCAGTCCTGACTGGATCTCCGCAGCGTGCCGAGATTACAGGGGACAGATTGTGTGTATGGGGGCGGGGCGAACGAGATCCACTGGAAGCACATGAGGGTGAGGCCTGTGGGCTAAGTAGAGGCCAGTCTTTGGACCTGTATCCAGTACTCTGCTGCTGCTAACCCAGTGAAGGGCTTTCAGCTTTGAAGTATTCTGAAGATCTGATGGTAACAATATAAAGTTCCCAGCGTACACATTCTCAGAGTTGATTTTGTGCAACTGATCTGGGCCTGGGACCTAAGATGCTCTTGGGAATTCGCCTTAAGCAGCTCAGCCCCTCTCCTTGGGTCGAGAAGCCCTCAGACTCGCCCCTCCAGAGTGACTCCCTGCCCTTCCTCTTCCCCCATCTTCTCTCTCCCTTTGACAGGGCTTGTAGCCTCTTAGAGAAAGCGGGCTTTCAGCATGCTCCCCACCCCCTTCCTCCCAGCAGGCTGTGTGCCTAGGAGCTGGTGTTGGAAGGAGGCTTCGCTCGACGCCCCTCCCCCACCCGCTGGAAGCTCGGGGAAGAAACAGCTTCCCTGCCCATCCCCCTCGGGATGCGCGCCTGGGCCTTGCGCAGGCGGTGCAGGCCGCGGCTGGAGCACACAAAACCTCCCCCAGCTTCCTCTCCCCGTCGGAGCGCAGCCCCCGAGCTGCAATTCCTCAGGGAGGCTGCCAGACCCAGTGCGTGTGCACGGTTTTTCAGAGCCTGTCCCTGCTGCAGACAGGCCCAGCGCAGCACTCTGCAGAGCCACCCTCCATCCGCCAACTCACAAGTCACATCCAGTATCTTCAGATACTTGCTGTGGCTAACAAAACAAAGGCATCTATCTAGAACTGTCTGAAGCAAATAAATGTCTTCCCTAGAGGAAGCAGGGTCTTGCCTGAGACCCACACTACGGAGGGGGACAGGCCAGGGGCAGACTCCGCCTGAGCAGAAAGCACACGGGGCTGGGAGAGGCCCAGGGGCGGTGTTTGCCTACCATGCCTGAGGTACAGGCAGAATTCGGGCCACCTAAGGGTTGCAGATGTGGCCAGAGACAAGGCCTGGAGATGACAGGGTTCGTAGGTCGGATCTAAGAACAGTGTTTTTTGTTTCAGGGCTTCCGATCAAGTCCATTCTGTCCACTTAAACGTTCATAAAGGCCTTTTTGGAAGTTTCAGGAACTCAGCGGGGATCTAATCATACAAGCAGATAGATACACACAGGGTGAAGTCCCTGTTGAACAGGAAAGCCGGATTAGACAGGTCAGAGAGAACTCCCCACAGAAAATACCTGAAGTGGGCCGTGTGTAGTGGCCCATGCCTTTAATCCCAGCACTTGGGGAAGCAGAGGCTAGCCTGGTCAACACATAGTGAGTTCCAGGACAGGCATAGCTACATAGTGAGAGCCTGTCTTCAAAACAAAAAGGCCCTTAAGTGATATGAGGAGGGCAAGAGAGTGTAGGGAGTTGAGAGAGAAAGCAGAGTGCTGACCTAGACAAAACAGCAATTAAAATAAGTACTGGGAAGATTCTAGAAACTGAGTGAAACCCAGTGCACCATCCTAGCTGTGTGCACACACCATTGTAGGTATTAAAAATGACGGGCCCTGAGCTGGGGGAGCAGTGGCGTCTAGATCCCCATAGAGCTGAGCTGTCAGGAAGGCTGCCTGTTCTCAGGAGACAGGAGGCACCACCTCAAGCTGGAGTGCACACTGCTGAAGCTGGCACCCAAGGACAGGCTGCTGGAAGGAAGCACACACTGCTAACTCCACTGGTATGGCATCCAGAAGTTCCATCCCTGCCACGTGTGAGGGGCAGAGCCTGGGCCCTGGTGGCCAGAACAAACAGCATAATAAACAGTAGTGTCCAAACTGTGGTGGCACACACCTTTGGTCCCAGCACTTGAGAGGCAGAGGCAGGCAGATCTCTGTGAGTTCAAGGCCAGCCTGGTCTACAGAGCGAGTTCCAAGACAGCCAGGGCTACACAGAGAAACCCTGTCTCAAAAAAACAGAAAGAAAAAAAATAGACAACAGTGAAAAGCAGAGAAAAGAGATTTATTCAATGTAGCCACTTTGGGAAGAGGAACACAGAGGTCCAGGTCCATCTTAGGGGTCCTAAGGTAAGTTTCGGGTTAGAGGTCAGCATAACTGAGCAGTCCTGGCCATGCTGTGGTGCTCTGAGCTCCAGGGGATCTCACAAGATAGTCTGGCAAGTGGTCAGGACTGTGAGATCTCTGTCCTGAAGACAAGCTCCCCACCTGGCTGTCACCACTTGTCCGTCATTTTCTTTTCCCAGGATAAAACTCCTGAGGAAACGTTCTTGGATTTCACTGTGTTGATAACCTCAGAACCAAAGAAAGGTCGGGAGTATCTCTTTAGAGTATCTTCATTCCTGTCAGGTGGGTCCCAAGGCGATGCACACCTATAGTCCTAGCACTAACGCTGGGAGGCTGAGCCAGGAGGATCGAAACCAGAGACCAGCCTCAAAGTTTTATCTATAATGAGATCAAGGCCAGCCTGCACGACAGACTCAACACCAAGGTGGTTCATGCCTAACATTCCCGAACTCCAGGGGCTGATGTGGGAGGATGGCAAGTTTGAAGCTAGCCTCTGCTACAAATCAAGATCTGAGAAAAAGAGAGAACCAATTTAAGTCTAAAAATGATGAGACACTGAAGAATTTTAAAGCAGGAAATAATATAATATGGGGCACATTCTTGTTTGAGTTTGGGATATTTTTATTATTTATTCATAGTAATGAGGCTTGAACGCATAGGTTAAGTAGGCCCTCTACCACCGAGCTACAACTTCAAGCCCAGGGATGAGTTAAGTATCCAGTAAAGAGAAAAAAAGAAAACAAAAATCAAGCCAAAACAAAAACCCTGAAAAGCACAACTAAAAGCTGAGGTCAGTTTACCTTGTGGGAAATGATGTCTGGAACCTGGAAGGTGGAGATGGACAGAAGAGCAGCAAGATTCAGAGAAACTTGGGGGATGAGAAGAGAATTTAGAGTCATTAACGTGCCGTACAGACGTGAAGACCTGAATTCAACCAGCAAAGCCCATGTGAAAAAAAAGACAAAAGCCAGGTGTGGGGCCAGCATTGGGAGGTGGCTCAGAGCCAGCCAGCTCAATCACACCAACAAAGACCCTCACAAACTGTTCGCACCTAGGAACGACACCCAGTGTTATATTCCGGCTTATGCACATGTACACCCACATCCACATTCAGGAGAGATTTAGGAACCTGGACAGAGTATCTCATGTTTGTAATCTCAACAGTTTGGAGTCTGAGGCAGGAGGACTACCCAAAGCTTGAGGCTAGTCTGAACTAAGAACGGGACTGTCTCAAATCAAAAGGAAGCCATCATAGGCATTCTTCCTCTGCTTCCTGGCCACTGCTTTCTCTTCCCTGCCCTCCCCACCATGATGGATGGAAACGGTGAGCTAAAATAAATTCGTTCCTTCCGTTTACGGCAGGAATGCTGTCATGGAATGGACAGATGTCTAAGAGGAGGCGTGGAGTGGGGCAGATGCCTTCAACCTCCCAGAAGAGTTCTGAGCCTGAGAAATAAAACAGGAGCCACACAAAAGTGGCTTTCAGACTTCCGCACACCCACAGTAAGTCGCCCATTCCTCATGGCTCCACCACACCTAAGCATGTGTATTGTCCAAGGCTGTCATGACCCTGGCTCTAGGACTCCACAAGGGCAGGACCCGGCCTCACAGTCTTGTCAATCCATCTTTTCCTCAAATGGAGTACTGGGAGCTAGCCTGTGCCAGGCTCTGGGTTCAAAATGCTGCCAACCGAGGAGGTCAGGAGGAGGTGGAATTACGGGTAAGTTTTCTTTGAGAGTGGCTTGTCCAGGTTCCCTCCAAGTGGCGGTGCGTATCCCTTCATCCCCCTGCGCGGGGCCGGGTGCTCTCCTCCAGCCCGCCCTGCCCCCTGCGCAAAGAGCTGGGGGCAGCGTCCGTAAGAGTTGCTTTTCAAAGCCTTGGTTGCCATGGGGACGGCAGCGCGGGCCTCTGTGGTCCGTAACTCACGCTCCAGGGACCCGACCAATGGACAACAAGCTCCATAACGCAGCTCACCAATCGGCAGGCTCTGCCGACGGAGCGCCCGGCCCTCTGCCCAGGGATGCCACCAATTTATGGCTTCTGTGAAACGGGACTTTTTTTTTTTTTTTTTAAGGAATTCTTCAAATTAGAAGGAACTGGAGCAAGGCCTCTCTGCCAGTTGCAGCCCGAGTGCTCTTCGGTTTCATTCTGTATTAGACGATCCAAACAATACATGCTGATCTCTACTAAAGTAGTTGGAGGCAGTGAACATGTGGGCCACCGGCTTTACGTACCCTGGCTACGCCCGTTTCATAAATGATCGAGAAATCAGTCATCTTTCTTTATTGTTGTTTATTTATTTAGGCATGTTGAGACGGGATTTCACTGGTCATGAATTTACAGCCATGCTCTTTAGCCTGGCCTCTCAAGAGCTGGGTTCCAGGTCGGCATCACTTGGTCTCTCTTTCTTGCTATTTTAAATACAAATTGCAAGCTGGGCACGGTGGTGACAGACTGATGTGAGCTCTTGGGAGGCGAACGCAGGAAGGCCAGGAGATCAAGGGTCCCTCTCTAGGCTGGCCTTCACCAACATGTGACAAGGTGC